TTAACATGGTAGTAACAGTATTAGCAGTTAGTGTTCTTCAAGCCTAAATTTGTCCAGATTTTGTCCATTTTGAGGCAATTATGATGATTATTTATGCAGTTTAATCAGCCACTAAACACCCTGGACACCAAACATGTCTTGGCTACATTTAGCCTAAATCAGATTTTTGCCAAACGCTTTAACTACATAAACATATGCGTGTGCCTCAGGGTTTCACTGAGCACCTGGATGCTGGCAGTCTGCACTGTGGCTCCGAGGCTGAGGACAGTCTGCTGGACGGCGGCGAGACGTCTCTGGACAAATCGTCCTCCATGGGCATGGTGGACTCCAGCAACATGGCGTCCTCCGAGGACGTGCGCACGCTGGCCTGTGTGCTGAGATCAGAGGTCATACTGATTGACGAGGACGACGATGACATGTCCCTCAGGGAGAGGACGGTCACCGACTGCTCCATCACCGATGGCAACGCCGCCCAGCTCGTCTGCGGCCGCCTCCTGTCCATCTCCTCTGACTCTTCCCCTTCTGTGTGTGAGAAGCGGAGCCAGAGCCTGGAGGCCACGCCTCTACCTGAGCAGGAGGAGGAGCCTCCCAGGAGGCCCAAACACCTGTGCTGTTACTGCACCATCCTCTGAACATCAACAGCCACTTTATAGTCACATAGACTCCATTCATACAGCTTAAACAGCGCAAACAGTGATTCTGCCCTGAACTGGAGTCTGATCTCAACAGATCTACAGAAGGACGTCCGGTGATGGGACATTTTAATTTGGGAATTAAATAGACTGGAATGGAATGGAATTGAATGGACTGGTAGGAAATTGAATGGAACAGAATTGAATAGACTGAATGGAATGGAACTGAATTCAGTAGATGAGTATGGAATGGAATTAAATAGAAAAAATAGTATTGGTATGAATTGAATTGAGCTGGCTGGTATGTAAAGGACCCAAATGTAATAGACTGGTATGGAATGGAGTAGATCGGCATGGAATGGAATGGAATTGAACGGATTTGAGCAAGCTGGTATGGAAATAGAATAGAACCAAATTGAATAGACTGGAATGGAATTGCATGGAATAGAATTGAATAGATTGGTATAGAGTTGAGTAGACTGGTACAGAATGGAATTGAATTTAATAGACTGGAATGGGGTTGAACTGAATAGACTAATAAGGAGAGGAATCTAAGCAAATTGAATAGATGCGTATGAAATTGAATGGAATTTAACAGACAGGTGTGGAATAGAATTAAATAGATAAAATGGTATTAAAATGAACTGCGTTGGCTGCTATGTAAAGGAATTGAACATATTGGTATGGAATTGAGTTCACTGGTATGGAACGGTACTGAATTGAAAAGACTAAAAGGAATTGAATTGGATTAAACAGACTAATATGGAATGGAATTTAATCAACTTGAATAGACTAGTATGGAACTGAATTGAATGGAATTGAATAGATGGATGTTCAATGGGACTGAGCAGAATAGACTGAATGGAATGGAATGGGATGAAATTAATAAGGAATGAAAAAGAACAAAATCACATAGACTAGTATAGAATAGGGTGGAATTGAATACACCACTGGGATTGAATTAAATAGATGGATGTGTACTGGAATTAACCTGATAATGTGTTATTGAATTGAACTGAATTGAATTGACTGGTCTATGGAATGGAATGGAATAGAAGTGGCTGGTAGTTGGCTCCCATCACTTCGAGTCAGATTCCAGTTTCAGAGGAAAGCCCTGCTTATGTGTCCACTCAGAGAGTCGGTCCCTCAAACAAACCCCTACAGCGAGCACCATTTAGCATACCTTATCTAAGGTGTACACTGGGTTTCTCATATAAAATGAATTCTAAAGAGAATGGAGAACATTACCAATGGATTTCAATGGAGTTCTTATGCTAACAAAGCTAAGCTAATTATGCTAAATGACCAAATACTTGGGCTCTGGGAAATTTTTCAGAAATGAGTATGAAACCAATCTGAACCCCTACCTGTGTTTGAGCACGTCTTTTGTAGCTGTGATTTGCATGAAAAAAGGACAAAGATTCCTCAAGAACGAGGGTTGATTCCAAAGCCGTAGCTGCACAGATCCAGGAAATACTGTATCACCTGGAATTTGAACTTAGCATCTACCAGACAGCTCACACTTCGTAAGTCTGAGGAAATGACCAGTTTTGACAACTGAAATGACCAGGAAATGACCAGAGGTTTTTTATTGATCAGTAATGTGTGTTTGAGGCATTTTCAATAAAATTAAAATGTCAAGAAAATGGGACAGTGCTAGCTTATGTGCTAATAACGTTAGCATTAGGTACTTAGCTAGCTGATGCTACCTAAGCAAATCTTGGCGAAGTGATTATAGCAATCTTAGCGATCGACACATCAACATTCTAGCTTACATTTTAATGCATTTTTGGTGTTGTATTACTGTAAAAGACTAAAGAATTTGCAAGTTCTCAATAATCGGCTTTAACTTCAAGTACGGCAACATTTTCCGAAATAAAAAAAGCCGAATTTAAAAATGTTAAGTCAATCATGTATTTGCTGCTACATTGCCTACAGGAGTGCACACAATTTGAGACATAATTCAAATTAAATTTAAATTGTCTTCACACATTTGTGTACAACAATGAGCGTGTTTTACATGCACTCAATAATCTGATCATAATCCGACTTCTGCAGTTATCTGATTATTCAAATGGTCATGTAAACACCATACTCCGATCTAGAGGTCCGATTAAGAAATCCGATAAGGAGGCTGGATTTTAGTTCAGTAATCAGATTTCTCAGTGCTGTAAACTCTTACTCTGATTTCTTTCGCATTTCTCAGTCTGTGCGTGTGCGGAAGAACGCGGTACCAGATATAAGCGAGCAGCTGATGTGTGTTCATATTTTCAGATAAAGCAGCAAGAAGTTCGAGTTTTACGTTACGTTTACGTCGCGGCTTCTTCTGTGAGCTTATTGGCCGGTAGCAGAAATCTGGCTCATGTAGACCCAGAGTTTCCCCATTATCTGATTACTCGAGTGCATGTAAACGTGTTGATCGGATTACTGACAAAATCTGATCTTCTGCAGTTATCAGATGATTAAGTGCAAGTAAACACACTCAATGATCAATGGCTGCCATATTTAAAATGGAAAGCAAGGTCCATCACTGTCGCTGAGGTCAATCAAATGCAGTGGGTGGGACTTCATGAGGGGCGTTTTTGGGGAGGGGCACATGTTTACGTAATTAAATGCAATAGAATAATAGATAATTGTTTTGTGAATGATATGCGATGTATATTGTGATAAGTTGGCCATATCGTCCAGCTCTAGCTCACAGTCAGAGCTCTGATCTACAGTCGGCTCTCGTCCTGATGAAGATGACCGCAGTGGCCATCTGAGAGACGTTTGGTCCGTGCGGTCACCGATTGATGTGTTTGTACTCAAACGTGTTTATTAATGTTGGTTGTTTCTCTTTTGTGCTGTTCCTCACATTCTGTCACTGCACAAGAAGCGACGCTGTTCTACATCTACAGAACCTCACGCAGTGTAAAAATAAATCTTTTAATGTTTGAATATCAAAGCAGTCCAGCTGTACATCTGTAGGTCTTTGGAAGCTTTTTGGTAAACTCGATTTTTTTAACGCTTTTATAGACCCTCTCTCAGACTCACGTCGTACGACTGAGCTTATCAAATATTCAGAGACTTTCAGACGGACTAAAGCACCAGAGATGGACAGAAGAAACACATGGACATCATTTCTACCAAGAAAACTTTTTTGTATGGCTACTATTAATCAGTGAATTTCATATTTAATAATAATGTTTGTTATAATAAGTAATTATATTTATGGATGTTGGGCACTTGGTCCTGTCTAGTGGTTTCATCACAATCATTTTTATGTCAATAAATATTTATTTCAATAAAAATAGTCCATGGGTTCGTGCTCATGTCCTTTCATGGGTCCTTATTTTCTTTTTCCTCTTGCATTCTGGGTAATGGGTGTAATGTCAGTGTAGTACTGTATCTGTTGAGGACAGAAGGAAGCGTTAACTTCCCTTCACTGGCTTTTCTGAATGAAGAGTCTGTTTGGGCGTGCATGCATACGGATCTGCAAGTGTGGCTGTTTCTAATTGGACGGTGGTCTTAAGAGCACAAACCCTACATTTTCTTGTATTTAATATGTTTGAGGTCCACTTAATGAAGTTCATGTGTTTAATGTAGACTTTAAGATTGATAAATGAGCTCTGTTCCGATTGGCTCTGTATCGTGCCTCATTCAAAAAGCAGTCCAGCCTGAAACACTCCTTATAACTTCAGTGTAAGTGGGTGGGCTGTATGCTGAATCGATGGATGTACGTAAATGTGTTGGTTTTAATGATATCACAAAAACAGTGAATTCAAAGTGGAGTACAACATATTGGGGAAAAAATGCAACATAAAATATAAAATGTGCCATAATTTTTTCACAGGCTTTTATGTTTTTTTCACCCCAGTACATTAAACTCAGTAAATAAACAGTAACTGTGTTTTAAAATGTGCAGAAGTGTGTCTCTGTAGAGGACGTGTTCACATACTTTAGCTTAGAAAATCAACAACACGAAGAATTTAACCGAAACATGCAACAAATTTTTGCCTGCAACTGATATGCAAATGAGTTCTGTTCTGATTGGCTGAAACACTCCTTATAAGGTCAGTGGGAGTGGGTGAGGTAAACGTATGTAGGCTGAATTGTAAATGTGCTGTTTTTTGTGACAAAAACAGTGGATTGCATATAAACAAGGATTGACAGCCTAATAACCAATCATCTACCAGCTTCAGTGGGGGGCTTTCTGTGGGTAATAGTGTCCCCCCCACCTACCCACCCCCCCCATGACACTACATGCAGTGTGTAGAGGCTTGGTGTGTCATTGATGTGTGTGTGTGTGTGTGTGTTTGTGTGTGTGATGATAACGCTGAGTGCTCTTATCTGTCAGTCCCACACAGGGTTAACTCTCCGCCCCCCCCCCAGACCCTACAGGTCACTCACACTGACTCTACATAACTCTATGAGCCTGAGGCCTAAACACACTTCACTCAGGATCACCGGCTTCCTATTCCATTCTGAAGATTTCTTTAAGATAAGGCCAGATAGAGGAGTCATTTCTGGATTAAGGGAATTCTGTGTGCTGTGGAGTGATCTACTAAAGAGGTAGGACAAGTAACACACACACACTCGTTTTTATACAGTGTCAGGATGTGTAAATATATATATATATATATATATATATATATATATATATATATATATACACACACACACACACACACACATTATTATTATTATTTATATACATATATACGTCTCATGTGCTATATACACATACAGTGCTGTGCAAAAGTCACAAGTGCAAGTTGTTAATTTTTCAGCATCAGCATCAAGAATTTAAAGAGACATTTTATTTACTATCCAGAACCACCAGTGAACCGACACGAGTCTTCTGAGTTTATATGGAATGTTGATGATGGGAAATAGTAGAAAATCTGAAATAATAAGTTTTCTTTGGGGACTATTTTGCCTCACAATACCCTGCGTATTATGTATCCCTCCACCGTGAATGGATTTTTAGGCCAAAGTGTGGAAAATGAGTTAAAAAGTGATTTCACATTATTCACCGAACTGAGAAGAAGAACTAAAAAAAATTAAGAGACTTTTTGGACTTAACTATCTGACTTGGGTGAATTCTACTGTCCACAAGTTGAGTTAACTCAAGAAAAGCTTTGTAATCAGTTACTTTATAATTTTAGGTTAAACTTCAACCAAGAAGGAATTGATTTAAAGTGTTTTTTGCAAGGTTTCCATTGATGTGAAATATAGTTATGGTTCTTCTAATGTGAACGTTTGCATTCTTTCATTCAAGAGTTGAATAAAAGCAGTTCGGTCGTTTGTTACCATATCAAGTAATTCTTTTAGGTGGAGCTGACAAACCATTTTTGACAGGAAGTGTAGAATAGTGGCTTTTGGTGGAGCTGGTCCAGAAGAGCCAAAAATAGCCATAATCACCACACCCGCCCACCCACCCACCCACACACACACACACTCACTCACTCACTCACACACTCACACATACACACTCACACAATGACCATGACTCTGCAGAGTGTGTGAGAGAGTTTATTCACACACAGTGTTGTGTGTAACTGAGCATATCAGAAACATCACACTGACCCTCAAAACCACGACGGAGGGGCCTCGGTTTCCCTCGAGTCCTTGGTTAACCCTCTGTGCTATCTCCAGACCCCAGGCCTGCAGGAGGAAGAGAGAAGGATGAAGAGACATTACAGAGTGAGTGAGAGATGAGAGGAAATCAGCAGCTATGAAGAAAACAGCAGCCTTCACATTCTGCTTTATTACAGCGACGTTCGTCCTGCTTACAGGTACGACTCACTCAGCACGTCCCCATCAAGAGGGAACATCTCTGACCATCAAACAAGTCAATTACAGCCGACTGTTTGGCAAATTTTGATTGACACGCCTTTCAGATGAACATAATGATATACAACAAGTCTTTCCTCCATCAAGCGAAGGAAACATGATAAAACCCATCAAAACAAACCTGCTGTGAAAACGGCGGTGGCGGTAAATTAGTTATTTTAGACTAAGAAACGGTGAAAAGGAGTTTTAGTTTAGATCCTGATCGTCTGGAGGGTGGAGATGTTTTAATTTCAGTCCTGAGGCTGAAAAAGTTTCTGACTAAAGGCCGAATTCACAGCTCAGTGACTAAACTATTAGCAGAATTTTACTCACTCTAAGGTAAACTGAACTTCATCTGAGTCACCATATTTGCTCACATGATGTCTAATGATAAACAACATTCCAGAAAAATGTTAAGATTACTTAGTTAGCCGAGGGAGTTAGCTTAGCTGCTGGCTGTTAGCTTGCTAAATCAGTCAGGCTAAACAGGACGGTACAGCGCTCACATTAGTGATTAAAATACTCTGTGTAGCTAAAGACACACTTGAACACACGACGTTAGTGTATTGTGTTCGAGTTTGCTGACAGATCTTGTGTGTAAGACAGTGAGTCCTCCTTAGCAGCTAACAGCTCTGACTAGCTCTGGTGTTAGCATTAGCATTAGCTCATCTGAAGGAGCAGCTTCCTTCATTAAAACCTTTATTTGACATGCTGCTTTGACATCGAGTGACTAAAAGATTTCTCTGGTGTGATTAATGCAAATGTGTTTTCCAGAATCTAGTTTAGTTCATTTTTAAAATGGCCAACATTCTTATCATCACTGTCAGAACAAATCCACTCTCCATTTTTGTCGTTTTTCATTTTTGACAGAACTTGATAAACAAAAAAGCTGAACCTTGTCTTTTTTTGATGAATGGACCGATAGAGATTCTCCAAAATGAATAAAATATTTTTACATTAACTTCCATGGAAAGTTAAGAAAAGGTCCATGTTGGAGCTACGAGGTTTTTGTTCGACAACAATGATATTGGATTAGTTCTCAAACGTATGAGCTACGGCGCCCTACTGGAGACATCTTGTATAAATAAGAATAATGTGTGGCCAAACTGTATTAACACATGGGAATGAGATCCTAATGCATGGCCAAGACTTAGTAAGGAGTGGAAATGAGATAATTAAGCCTTGACCACAGCTTAGTAAGGCGTTTGAATGAGATCATGCCTTATTAAGCTGTGGTCAAGGCTTAATTATCTCATTCGCATGTCTTGCTAAGTCATGGCCACACATTAGGATCTTATTCCCATGCCTTACTAAGCTGCGGTCAAGGCTTTAATTATCTCACTCGCATGCCTTGTTGAGTCATGACCACACATTAGGATCTTATTTCCATGCCTTACTAAGCTGGGGTCAAGGCTTAATTATCTCATACGCACGGCTTGCTAAGTCGTGGCCACACGTTAGGATCTCATTCCCATGCCTTACTAAGCTGTAGTCAAGGCTTAATTATGATGAATCAAAATATTAATACTTCATAACTTAAACAGTGTAGCTCAAACATTCAGTTTACTTTGCTATAATGAGCATTTCTGCTTGAAGCTTCTTCTGTTATCACTCTATGTCTCTCTCTCCTCTTCATATTCTCTCTCTCTCTCTCTCTCTCAGTTGGAGCTGAGGTGGACGTGTGCGCCTCCTGCCATGCTAACGCTACCTGTGAGGATAAAACAGATGGATCTGGAGGGAAAGTGTGTAACTGCATGTACGGCTTCGTGGGAAACGGGAGAACTCACTGCCAAGGTGTGGCTTTATTACCTGGACAGAGAAAGTGCAGAGTTTAAGGCGAAGCTGTCCTTCGTATTTAACTGTTGTGGATGTTGGAGTTGGGTCACGATTTTGTGCCTGGTTTATTGTTTACTGTGTATAACTCAGGTGAGTATCTCTTTCTCTCAGATAAGGACGAGTGTCAGCTGGGCAGGATCTGTGGTGACCACACCATGTGTCACAACACGTACGGCAGCTACTACTGCACTTGCCTTCAGGGTTACAGACCCTCCAATAACATGGCTGTCTTCATCCCCAACGACGGCACCTACTGCCACGGTGAGCAGCAGACAACTTATATATACACATTCCCATCAGAGAGAGTCATCTGACATACTTACCATGGTTGGTTACTAATGGTTACCATGATCGGTTATGATGTATGGTTACCAAACAATTGCCATGATCGTTTACCAAATGTTTACCATGACCTTTCACCCGTTCATTACCGTGATCAGTTATCAGTCGATTACCACAATCATTTACCAAACAGGTATGATGATCAATTACGATGTATGGTTAACAAATAATTTACATGATCATTTATCAAACATTTACAATGATTGTTTACCAAACAGTTACCATGATCTATGACCAGTCGATTACCATGATCAGTTATCAAACGATTATCACAATCGTTTACCAAACAGTTACCATGATTGGCTATCAAATGATTATCATGATCAATTACTGACCAGTTACCATTGTCGATTACCAAACAGTTACCATGATCAGTTAACAAAGTTATCATCATTGTTTACCAAATGATTCCCATGATTTACCAAGAAATACCTAGGATCTGCTACCAAACGATTACCATGATCTTTTACCAAACGACTACCATGTTCAGTCACCACACGATTACTATGATTGGTTACCACACAGTTACCGTGATCAGGTACCAAATGAGTACCATGATCATCAAATTCCAGGCCCCTGTGCACAAATATCTGGTGGTTCCTACCTGGCTACCTTTGGTGATCAGGGAATCATAATGGCAGCAAACTAACCATGGTGTTGGGCACATCACCTACATAAATGCATTCTAGCAGGAAGGTTACTGTGTTGAGCTTTGCTGGTTGCATAAAGACAACAGCAAATTGACAAGCAATACATTTCCCAAATGCACCGTGTCCTGCTAAGACAGGGTAATCGGGTTATAGCCTGTTGCTGACAGCAGTCCAGTCATTTTTCTGCATATTCCAGTTCAATACTGTGGTGAAAAACAAAACCATAACAAGATTACACTCACATTAACAAGAGCACGGCTGAACATGAACCCAACAACCAGTGCAACACCTATTCATAAAGTATTCACCCCAGTGAAGATGACATCAATTACAATAAGACCGCTGATGCTTTGGCTTGCTGTGTTAATTAATATAGGCTTTTATATCAGGGGCACACACAGTTTTTACATTTTGGCACCTGCTGCTACACAAGCATGTACAAACGTCCTGGGTTCAGTGGGGCATGCTGATTGGTTAGTGGGGCGACCCCCCCATGCTGGGCCTGCTCAGAACTGTTCAGCTTTAGAGGTGCTGTTTTGATTGATGTGTCTCCGCATGTGTGTTTTTCACAGATGTGGACGAGTGTGTGGTGCAAGGTGTGTGTGGAGAGGGCGGAGTGTGTGAGAACAGTGAGGGGGATTTCTCCTGTACCTGCCAAACTGGATACAGAGTTCAGAGTGGATCAGAACCGTTCCAGCCTCACAGAGACTCCGCCTACTGCGAAAGTGTGTACAATCCAAGATCAGCACTAACCCTGATCCATAAAAATATTAATTACTATATAATTACTAGTATTATGTTAACAGAAGAATAATTAGCGTTTTACGTTCAGTGAACTCAAAATGTTAAATTAATCAGGCTGTTTACCTTAAAACAGGTGACATTTTGATGTGTGTGTGTGTGTGTGTGTGTGTGTGTGTGTGCGTGTGTGTGTGCGCGTGTGCGTGTGTGTGTGCGCAGTGGTAGACTGTGGTCCTCCCCCCTCTGTTCCTCATACAGTCCAGCTCTCTCCGTCTCTGACTCGTTTTGGCAGTGTGGTGAGGTTTGGCTGTGCAGATGGCTTCGTGTGGAGAGGAGGAGGAAACACCTCCATCTGCACCGCTGATGGACACTGGAACGGTCCCAGCATGCACTGCGAAGGTAAGCAAACAGGTACAGGGAGTAAGAGGTGATGAGTTATTCTGGGTCACTGAACTGAGCAATATTACAATAATAACTGTTGATTACTGCTCATAGCAGAGGACATTAATAAATGCTTATAACAGCCAAAATCAATTAATGCTCATAATGGCTCATAGCAAGTGCACAAAATGCTAAGTAATGCTTATAACTGCTAACAACTCTTCATAACTTCTAATAATGGTTCATAACTTCTAATAACTGCTCAGAACTTCTAATAATGGTTCATAACGTATAATAACCGCTCATAACTTCTAATAACAGTTCATAACTTCTAATAACTGCTCAGAACTTCTAATAACAGTTCATAACTTTTAATAACTGTTCATAAATTCTAATAAAGGTTTGTAACTGCTTATAATTGCTGATAACTATTGAATAAAACTTAATAACTGCTCATAAATGCTCATAACTGCTCATAGTGGATGATATGACCCAGATAGCAGACAGTTCTGGGCTGGTTCTGGCTTTCATACACATGTGTTGGTTGACTACTGGGCCAGATGCTGTACAGCTGCATACGGTTCAGTTTCATGTCTATATTTGTGGGCCAATTCTGGCATAAATGTTGTGGACCAACAATGTAGTTGGGCCAGATTTGGGGCCACATTCATTAGTTCTACTCACTTGACCAGATCTGTGCCAAGACCCCTGTCGTATACCGGGCCAGAATAAATCCAAGGATGTGGCCCACAAGTGAGCCAGACAAATTTTGCTAACTGAGTAGAAACTGCCAATAACTAATAACTGCTGATAACTGCTGATAACTGCTTTAGCGGTTGGTCGCTGTTGCGAGTGTGTCCTGCCTAACAGAGCTGCTTCCCCGTGTAGAGGTGAACTGCGGTGAGCCGCTCTCTCTGCCCCACTCAGAGCGGCTGTGGGGGGGTCGCTCCAGCCTGGGCTCCACGGCGCTGTATGTATGTGTGACTGGGTTTTATAACTCTGGAACTCAGAACACCTCTGTATGCTCTGCTATTGGGAGCTGGAGCCACATCAACTTCCTGTGTAGAGGTACAGGACTTTTATTATGTCAGTATTTATCATTATTCTCTGATACAAAAATCCAGTTATAGTTCATCCAATAAAGAACAGAGACAGATGATATAAGTGTATGTTTGTGTGTTTGTATACATCAGAGATACAGTGCAGCACCCCTCCTCCCCTCCCCCACACTGTAGTACTATGGGATGGCAACAGTAAGGTGGGATCTGTAGCTGTGTATGAGTGTGAAACTGGATATCGGATGGTGGGTTCAGGGCACGAGTCGGAGTGTAACATACACGGACAGTGGACTCGCACACACGTCACCTGTGAAGGTGCACACACACAAACACACACACACACACACACACACACACACACATTTTACTCCAGCTGACTATGTATGCATCAACACCATGTAGTTCAAACATTTGGAATCACTGTTTTCACTCTTAAACATAAACAATAATATACTTTGTGCAGATCCATAAATAAAAAAGTTCTAATATGATGCTAGTAGGGACGTAGCCATGCGTAGGCCTGGGCCTACACAGATTGATTACAGGCTTACCCAATCAAATGGCAAAATAATACTTAATAAGCTGATTTTTTTTTAAGATTATGCAATTTTATTTCCATCTCTTTGAGTGCTGTCCATGTCTTATGGCCAATCAAATCAGCTGCCACTATCCACCACTGCCTCAAGCCTTCGGTTCATTCTCAGAGTGCCAGTGTTTAAGTTTGAAGCTCCAGTTGTGGTTAAAAGACGTAACTGGGGACAATTTAAAGTGAGATTCCATTCTGTGTTGATTTCTACTCATCCAAAGCTGAAAAAACCTTGTCATCATCAGTTTTCTGTCATTTTACTACAAAGACTGAAAGAGCCATAAAAATGTCAAAGCAAACATCTAACGTTACTTCAGTGCATTGAAGGTAAGACATAAATGGACCATAAACATTTTCCATGCCTGCCGTGACAGTATGTTTTTCGGCTTTGATGATTAGGTGTGGGTTTTTAGATTTACTATGTTGTGTTTCTTCATCTTTGCACATCTCAGCTATTTGAATTTAACTGCTGCAACCCAATATTTTATTCCTGCCTCCAACACTCAGTGCTAGTTCTCTACAACTACATAAGCTTCAAATAATTTGCAGGAAGCTAAAAAAAGTTACAATGTTTAGTCCAGAATGATGAGCAGGACCATTCATAATTCCACAATAGTTATAATGAAATTACTATCCAGAGTGAGGTTCTACTAAAACTAATGTCCAGAATAAAGTTCTAATAAAATTAACATCCCAAATGAACTGAACTGAATAAAATTAATATCCAACACCGAATTAATGAAAAGTCAAACCTTGTGGCAAAAAAGAAATTGCTATAAATTGATAAGCACAGTATTATCATTTAATGTTTTCAGAAATCTACACTGTAAGTTATCACTGAATGAAATAACAGCAGTTATTAATGTGAAATGTGATTCCAGATGTTTGAACAGTTTATGTGTATCAGAAATCTGAATCTCTTATGTGCCAGCACACTGTTCTAGATCTCTTGCATGACCTGAATTTGTGTCCCCTTTTTCGGCCGATGGCCGGCGCGCTCTCTCTATCTCCAGAGATCCGGTGTGGGGAGCCTCCTGTAGTGCCCCACAGTGGCCGGTTGTGGAATGGCAGCGTGAGGTTTAACAGCACTGTGATTTATTATTGTAATGAAGGATATTATCCTGCAGTGGGAGAGAATAAGTCTGTGTGCACTGAGAACGGTTCCTGGAGCAAAACAACTCTAACATGCAGAGGTAACATCTCCTACGACTGATAAATGTCATCAATCATAAAATGATGGTATTAAGCTGAGAACGAGAAAATCTTAAGGCAGGAAACACCTGAATGTATTATATGGCCAAAAGTATGTGGACACCTGATGATCACACCTATATGAGCTTGTTGGATGTCCTATTCCAAAACCATGAGCATTAATATGGAGTTGGATGCCCCCTTGTGGCTATAATAGTCTGCTCTGTTCTGGGAAGCTTTCCATAAGATTTTGGAGAGTGTCTGTGGGAGTTTGTGCCCATTTAATCAAAAGAGCATTTGTGAGGTCAGACACTGATGTTGGACGAGAGGGCCTGGCTCACAATCTCCGTTCTAGTTCATCCCAAAGGTGTTCAGTGGAGTTGAGGTCAGGGCTCTGTGCAGGCCACTGGAGTTCCTCCACACCAAACTCATTAAACCATGTCTTTATGGAGCTCACATGCTGTAGTGTTAACATCACCTGTCACTGTAATTAAGGGGTCCAAACGCTAAAAACAGCCCCAGCCCATTATCCCTCCTTCACCTAACTTTACTGTTGGTACTATGCATTCCGGTAGGTAACGTTCTCCTGGCATCTGCCAAACCCAGGTTTATCCTTCAGACTGACAGATAGAGAAGCGTAATTTAGTGTGCTTTACACCACTCCAGCCGGCGCTTGGAATTGCAAATATAGGTCTTAGGCTTGTGTGCAGCTGCTCTGCAATGAAAACTCATTCAATGAAGCTCCTGACAGAGTTCTTGCACTGATGTTGCTTCCAGAGGCAGAACTCTTATTGCAACAATAAATGATTTTTATGTGCTGCAATACAACCCATTCTACTGTCAGTGTTTGTCTATGGAGATTGCATGGCTATGTGCTTGATTTTCTATGCCTGTTAGCAATGGATGTAGCTGAAACCCACGAACGTATTAATTAGGGGGGTGTCCACATACTTTTGGCCATATAGTGTTCTTTCTAACATGGTTGTAGGAGTGAGTGAAATGTCATTGCATAGCTAGAAACAGAAATCTTCTATTTTGCTTGATAGGTAGCCTTTGTTCCTCTGATTAGCACTTAGCACTGGTGATCATGCTAATTTCTGCTAGTACCTGTATGGAACCCTATGGCCAATCTAGCGCTGGCGTACATGAAGAGTTTATTTCAGCTGAAACTTAATCATTTGAATTCTGTAAAAGACGTTCCATAGATTACATGTTATTAAAGCCTGTAACAAATATTAACATTTTCCCCCTGCAAGCTGTAGTACAGTGACTCTTTCAGTAAAGAGCCATGAATTAGAGCTGCCGCCGCTGCTTTCCATCCAAGTTTCACTTTTACTTTAGTACGTGTTTACAGATAACAGTGGCTCATACAGTCTCAGAAACTACATAATCGATTAGAAATGACTTAAAGCTGCACTATGTAAGTTTAGGGGATTTGGAGACCTCTCTGGTGGAAATGTGTAACTGCACAATTGATTATTTCAGGCTTTACAGGGCGACTCACAGCGGCACACACACCTTCTTTTAACCTGTTTTTAGTCTCCTCATTCAACAATACTTCCTTCAATTTTAGCAACAAACATCTTACATAGTGCAGCTTTAACTGAGAGTGATGATTTACGCATGAAGTTAGCAGCATGCTAATCGGTGGGGTATAAGCTTCCATTACTTGTTAACCTTGCAGCTTTTTTTGCTAAACTATTTCTTAAATTTAATATTGCTGACCGTCAAAGACACTTTTTCAAGATGAGAATGTATAGAGTAACTCTGTGTGTGTGTGTGTGTGTGTGTGTGTGTGTATGTGTGTGTTTAGAGATAAAGTGTGGTGTCCCCCCGTCTTTCCCTCATGCTGTAATGTTATGGAACGGACTCAGTAAGGTCGGTACAGAAGTGCGCCATAAGTGCAATGACGGTTTTTATAATATTGGAAAGGAGGACGTGTCCGTCTGCTCCAGCAGAGGAACCTGGAGCCTCCCTCACTTTCTGTGTCGAGGTATTAATGCACCTCTACATTCATAATACACCATCATTTTGCATATTATAATAACGCAAAAAGTATGTGTGTGTACAAGGCCAGTCAAAAGTTTGGGAACCTGGATTAGAACTGTCTATGACAATGTTTTCTTTGTCTCTTTGCAATAAGATATTAAATAGAAAACTGTTTAAATATGCCAAAAGACCTACCTTGAGGAATATAGCCAAGTCAAGTGATCTCTATTCTTGAACAGTAATATTATTTGTGTACATTCAAATGAAATATTGTTTCTCAGGCCCTGTGGTGCAACACACAACAGCAGCACATTACACAGGACTACACAGTGCAGTATTACAACATCAACACATGTATTGTGACCATGGGCGCCCAAACTTGTGCACACGACTGTATATGTGTGTGTATGTTCCCATGTGTGTGTGTTTAGAGGTAGACTGCGGTGCCCCTCCTCCCCTCCCCCACACGGTGCTGTCCTGGAACGGCAGCTCCAGTCTGGGCTCTGTGGCTCTGTATGAGTGTGAGGCTGGATATGGCAGTGTGAGTGCGGAGAGCCAGTCGGTGTGCGGCTCCAGCAGCCGGTGGAGTCCAGTTCACCTGCACTGTGAAGGTACATGAACGTACATGTGCACCGGTCAGCTCGATAAAACATTAACATGCACACTCAAAAGGATTGGAAGATAGGTGTTCACAGTAAATTGGCCAGTGAGTGTAAGTACAAGGTAGGTGTTTCTAATAAAGTGGCCAGAGAGTGGAAGAAATAAGTAAGTGTTTCTAATAAAGTGGCCAGTTAATGGAAGTACAAGGTAGGCGTTTCCAATAAGGTGGTCAGTGAGTGGAAGTACAAGGCAGGTGTTTCTAATAAAGTGGCCAGTGAGTGCAAAAACAAGGTGGGTGTTTCTAATGAAGTGGCCAGTTAGTGGAAGAACTAAATAGGTGTTTCCAATAAAGTGGCCAGTGAGTGGAAGCACAAGGTAGGTGTTTCTACTGAAGTGGCCAGTTAGTTGAAGCACATAGTAGGTGTTTCTAATAAAGTGGCCAGTGAGTGGAAGTACAAGGTGGGTGCTTCTAATAAAGTGGACAGTGAGTGGAAGAACTAGGTAGGTGTTTCTAATAAAGTGGCCAGTGAGTGGAAGAACTAAATAGGTGTTTCTAATAAAGTGGCCAGTGAGTGGAAGTACAGGTGGGGCTTCTAATAAAGGGACAGTGGGAAGAACTAGGTAGTGTTTCTAATAAAGTGGCCAGTGAGTGGAAGAACTAAATAGGTGTTTCTAATAAGGTGGCCAGTCACTATGGGTCATCTGATCTCATGTTAAATATACACTATAAAATAGAAATGACTCTGATGTAGATGATCCTTTGGCCGTTGTATAGAGATCCGCTGTGGTCCTCCCCCCTCGCCCCCCCTCACCCAGCTCAGCTGGAACGGGTCTTCTGTCCCTGGCAGCGTGGCGCTTTACTCCTGCCCTCAGGGTCTCCGGCTGGAGGGTCACAAAAACTACTCCACCTGCACCACCAAGGGGATGTGGGAGACGGTGTCCATCACATGCAGAGGTACACGTTTCACCTGCAGCTCAGAAATGACTCATTTACACTCCTGAGTCCTTTCTCATCGCCTCCCTTCTGACTCACTGTGAAATTATTCCCATTTAATGCATGTAAAACATGCTTTTTAAATTACTGTACATTTTCTTAGTTTTCTGCTTTCCTCTTCTCCTCCTGAAGATCTGTTTTAAAAACCCAGCTGTTTGTGTTTCTATTTATGTAGCTTTAAATGTTTTTGGTCTGCAGTACCGGTCAAAATGTTGGGCACATTGACAAAATTTCATATGTTTAATATTTTTAATAAAAACAAAACTATCCATCCATATATGTCCAATAATGTATTGTCTAAAAAGTGTTAAACAAACCCAAACAGTTATGAAATCAAAATCTTTCTGATTATAAAACATGTTAAACCAGGTGTCCACATCCTTCACTGGTACTGTAATGGAGCTGTACCTGAATCCAATTCTAAGTGAATTGAAACTTGACAGTTTTCTCTTTATGCATGTAGCACAAGCACTTCTGGAGCATCACCAGTAGGTGGCGACATTGACTGTGTCTTCTTATTCAGTAGTATTGACAGTGGCTCTCTCCATTTATAATTCACTTTGGCTGATTCAGTACCGGTTTTAACTGCCCTCGTTCACTTGGCCTCATCATTAACCCTCAGGGGAATCGCTGTTCTGTTACTGCATCAGCTCAATTAGCATTTCCCTTTTCAAACCCCCCAAAAAGTGGCCAACAAAACTGTCTATAAGCCACAAACTACTTTGAAATGCTAAAAACCATAACATTCAAGTTGCAAAGTTACTCCATCTGTTATATACGGCTTCAGTGCTTTGTTTTGCTAGATGTTTAGCATGCTAAATGCTACATGGCTAACAACAGCAAAAGTAAAGCACTACACGAAAGTTCTACAACAATGTTATGGTCAGACTTTTCAAAACAAACAAACAAACAAAAACATTATAATATAAACAATATACCCAATTAGCTCACTGAGGCTAACCTGGCCGAGCACATTGCGATTGAATAATCTGCTCCTTGCTGACCCTCATCAGCTCTTATTTAGACGTTACTGTTTGGGTGTAGGAGCCTATGCAGTGCACTACAGGCGCTTTTCCACTGTATGGTACCAGCTCGACTCGACTCGACTTGCCTTTTTTTGGTTTTCCATTAGGCAAACGTTGATACCTGGTATCTGGTCCTCAGTACTTTTTTGATACCATCTCCATCGAGGTTCCAAGTGAGCTGAGCCGGTACCAAAAGGTGGCGTAAGAACGCTGCAGACCTCTGACTAGTCAGAGAGAATCGCTAAACATTTATGCTAATGTTAGCCACCAGGTTAGCATAGCCTCTTGCATCGCCTTTATTGAGCAACCAGAACCACCAGAAATTCGTCTCCTTCACATTATGGCAGCTTCATTTGGCATCGCTATGATGACCAGCTGCATTGAGAGGGCGCTATATCAGCATTGGAAAACAAAGTAGCTGGTACCAAAGCGAATCGAGTCGAGTCAAGTCGTTTTGAGCTGTACCATGCGGTGGAAAAGTGCCTTGGGTAGGGAGAGAAACATTGAGAGATACACTAAAACATTGAACAGCCTCAGAATCTCCTCAGAGCAGAACGCTGTAGCCTGGGGAAGCGAGCGGCGCTGTTTAGCTTCGTTTCCTCAATACACTACTTGCTATGCTAACTCTGCGTGTGAACTGCTTTCTGTATCTGTTTTGTTGCTGTATTTTATGCGTGTTATAGAGTTAGTTTACCTGTATTTGTTTAGTTGTTGTTTATTTGAATGTTTTCTTGTTTGTAATCTGAGCCCTGATTTCAGTTTAGCTAGGTGGCTAACAGTAGCACACTTAGCTTTAAGGTAATTAACGCACATTGTGCCTGATAATAAATAAGTAACTGTGTGCGTGATCCACCCTCAGCGTACTGCGGGCCGACTCCGCTAGTGCCCCACTCTGAGGTGCTGTGGGAGAACAGCACTGTGGTCGTCCATCGCTGTGCTAAAGGATACTACAGCCGCACAGGAAGTGACAAATCAGTGTGCGGCATGACAGGAAGGTGGCAGGTGGCCACTCTGCGCTGCAGAGGTACAACAAACACATAAACTGCCTGTCATCATATACAGGCCTGAGCTAAACAGTCAAATTCCATGCATTTGTTTCATTGCTAAGTGAAAATAAGTGAAGACATCCTCTACAGAGAACACACTCCTGTACGTTTTAATATACGATCACTCTTTATTAGATGAAATTAACATATTGGGGAAAAAATAAAACATGAAATGTACCCTGTGCAAAAGTTATGGTACATTTTATATGTTACATTCAGGAGATCTACAGAAATTGCGCACTAGATTGGCAGAAAAATGTCATATGTGAATGTAAGTGTGTTCCCTGTAGAGACTGTGTTGACTTGTTTTCAATCAGAAAATCATCAAAATATGAAAACTGATGAGGGATGTTTAAATTTTGCATCCGACTGTACCAGACATGTATGCATTGCAGCTCTTCATTTGTAAGAAAAAAGGCTTAAACTGGCATAAAGAAAAGTGAATTGACTCCAGATCCCAGCATCATATTTGATTCACTGTTAACAGGAAATTTGCTCTTTGTAATTTTATTTTGTGGATTTAGATGCATGAAACTGATGAAGGTGTATTATGTCCTGGAAGTATTAACCCTTTACATGGCCTTACAATTTTTATTACACACTTCTATAACCCAAGAATAGATCAACCTGTTTGTGCTGAAGTCCCTGTAGTTACTGAATAATCAGCCTTAGTATGTAATAAGCCTGAGATTTTAAGGTGTTTCTCTGATGGTCAATCTGGAGTTCTGTTAAGGTCTATGGATAACAGTGTGTCATAAGTGTCCAAAATCACTTCAGGTCTATTAGAAATTACTAATTATTAGTGCATTTTAGCAGCTTGTATGTGAAACACAGTAAAGTAGACTGCACTGTAATGACCTGTTGCTGTGTTTGGTCTAGAGGTGAGGTTTGCGGTGAGGGGCTTGACGGTGTATAATGAAAGATGCCTGCGCTGGAAATCGGAGGCAGAGACAGAAGAATACAGAGAGCAGTATAGAGTGAGTTCATTTCTACACGCAGCAAACACACACAACCAGACATTTACTGCTAAACATTGACCACTCTGACACACTTGTAGTATTTTGAATGCATAATGCTTTTAGCCTAGCCAGTTAGCCAGTTTAGCCCATTCAGCCTACAGCAGTCTAGCCCCACTCATTCAGCCTACAGCAGTCTAGCCCCACTCATTCAGCCTACAGCAGTTTAGCCCCACCATTCAGCCTACAGCAGTTTAGCCCCGCCCATTCAGCCTACAGCAGTTTAGCCCCACTCATTCAGCCTACAGCAGTCTAGCCCCACTCATTCAGCCTACAGCAGTTTAGCCCCGCCCATTCAGCCTACAGCAGTCTAGCCCCACTCATTCAGCCTACAGCAGTCTAGCCCCACTCATTCAGCCTACAGCAGTTTAGCCCCACCATTCAGCCTACAGCAGTTTAGCCCCACCATTCAGCCTACAGCAGTTTAGCCCCACCCATTCATCCTTCAGCAGTTTAGCCCCGCCCATTCAGCCTACAGCAGTCTAGCCCCACTCATTCAGCCTACCGCAGTTTAGATCCACCCATTCAGTCTACAGCAGTTTAGCCCCACCCATTCAGCCTACAGCAGTTTAGCCCCACCCATTCAGCCTACAGCAGTCTAGCCCCACCCATTCAGCTTACAACAGTTTAGCCCCACCCATTCAGTCTACAGCAGTTTAGCTCCACCCATTCAGCCTACAGCAGTTTAGCCGCACCTATTCAGCCTACAGCAGTCTAGCCCCACCCATTCAGCTTACAGCAGTTTAGCTCCACCCATTCAGCCTACCGCAGTTTAGATCCACCCATTCAGTCTACAGCAGTTTAGCCCCACCCATTCAGCCTACAGCAGTTTAGCCCCACCCATTCAGTCTACAGCAGTTTAGCTCCACCCATTCAGCCTACAGCAGTTTAGCCGCACCTATTCAGCCTACAGCAGTCTAGCCCCACCCATTCAGCTTACAGCAGTTTAGCCCCACCCATTCAGCCTACAGCAGTCTAGCCCCACCCATTCAGTCTACAGCAGTTTAGCTCCACCCATTCAGCTACAGCAGTTTAGTCCCACCCATTCAGCTACTGCAGTTTAGCTCCACCCATTCAGTCTACAGCAGTTTAGCCCCGCCCATTCAGCCTTCAGCAGTTTAGCCCCACCCATTCAGCCTACAGCAGTCTAGCCCCACCCATTCAGCTTACAACAGTTTAGCCCCACCCATTCAGCCTACAGCAGTTTAGCTCCACCCATTCAGCCTACAGCAGTTTAGCCGCACCTATTCAGCCTTCAGCAGTTTAGCCCCGCCCATTCAGCCTACAGCAGTTTAGCCCCACAGTGTTGGTGTGGAAGTGATCTGGACTATCGTTCTTGCCGACAGCCTGTATCAGAGTTGTTGGAGTGGAAGTTTTGGGAAATGATCCAAAGGGAGTGGCTGAAGTTTATTGTTTAGTGCATCTTTGAGGACTTCATAGTTTGTTCCAGATTTCAGCCTCTGCCACTTTTCAAATGATGCAAAATAAAGGACAGCCAATCAGAAGAGAGCTCATTTAAAAGGGATAAAGCGAGGTCGGAAAATAGTCGTATAAACAACATTGTGGTTTTTTGGTACATTTTAACATATCATATATCACATTCTGTAATTTATTAATAACGTGTTTCTTCTCTGCTGCTAATAAGGGTATTTTTGGATGTGTATTGCCTTCAGGTGACGTTTATTGGACAAAGGGACTTTGACCATTTGTTCACTGACCGAAGGAGGAAGCTGTTCAGTTCTGCAGCCCTTCAGCCGGTTCTGTGTTTAAACCTTCGGCCGGCCACTAATTACACCATCACTGTTACTGCAGAGTCTACTGGAGACACATCTACTGTTACTGCAAACACTAGCTTACCAGGTACAGTTTCACACCAACTACACTGTCACTGTTACTGCACAGTCTACTGGAGACACGTCTACCACATTTGCACCAACTACACCGTCACTGTTACTGCACAGTCTACTGGAGACACGTCTACCACATTCACACCAACTACACCGTAACTGTTACAGACATGTCTACCACATTCGCATCAACTACACCGTCACTGTTACTGCACAGTCTACTGGAGACACGTCTGCCACATTCACACCAACTACACCGTAACTGTTACAGACATGTCTACCACATTCGCATCAACTACACCGTCACTGTTACAGACATGTCTACCACATTCGCATCAACTACACCGTCACTGTTACTGTACAGTCTACTGAAGACACGTCTACCACATTCACACCAACTACACCGTCACTGTTACTGCACAGTCTACTGGAGACACATCCACCACATTCACACCAACTACACCGTAACTGTTACAGACATGTCTACCACATTCACACCAACTACACTGTCACTGTTACTGCACAGTCTACTGGAGACATGTCTACCACATTTGCACCAACTACACCTTCACTGTTACTGCACAGTCTACTGGAGACACGTCTACCACATTCGCACCAACTACACCGTCACTGTTACTGCACAGTCTACTGGAGACACGTCTACCACATTCGCACCAAATACACCGTCACTGTTACAGACATGTCTACCACATTCGCATCAACTACACCGTCACTGTTACTGTACAGTCTACTGAAGACACGTCTACCACATTCACACCAACTACACCGTCACTGTTACTGCACAGTCTACTGGAGACACATCCACCACATTCACACCAACTACACCGTAACTGTTACAGACATGTCTACCACATTCACACCAACTACACTGTCACTGTTACTGCACAGTCTACTGGAGACATGTCTACCACATTTGCACCAACTACACCTTCACTGTTACTGCACAGTCTACTGGAGACACGTCTACCACATTCGCACCAACTACACCGTCACTGTTACTGCACAGTCTACTGGAGACACGTCTACCACATTCGCACCAAATACACCGTAACTGTTACAGACATGTCTACCACATTCACACCAACTACACCATCACTGTTACTGCAGAGTCTACAGGAGTCACGTCTACCACATTCACACCAACTACACCGTAACTGTTACTGCACAGTCTACTGGAGTCACGTCTACCACATTCACACGAACTACACCGTAACTGTTACTGTACAGTCTACTGGAGACACGTCTACCACATTCGCACCAACTACACCGTAACTGTTGCAGACATGTCTACCACATTCACACCAACTACACCGTAACTGTTACTGCAGAGTCTACAGGAGTCACGTCTACCACATTCGCACCTACTACACAGTAACTGTTACTGTACAGTCTACTGGAGACACGTCTACCACATTCACACCAACTACAGCGTCACTGTTACTGCACAGTCTACTGGAGACACGTCTACCACATTCACACCAACTACAGCGTCACTGTTACTGCACAGTCTACTGGAGACACGTCTACCACATTCACACCAACTACAGCGTCACTGTTACTGCACAGTCTACTGGAGACACGCCTACCACATTCACACCAACTACAGCGTCACTGTTACTGCACAGTCTACTGGAGACACGTCTACCACATTCACACCAACTACAGCGTCACTGTTACTGCACAGTCTACTGGAGACACGCCTACCACATTCACACCAACTACACCGTAACTGTTACTGCACAGTCTACTGGAGACACGTCTACCACATTCACACCAACTACAGCGTCACTGTTACTGCACAGTCTACTGGAGACACGCCTACCACTTTCACACCAACTACAGCGTCACTGTTACTGTACAGTCTACCTGGTACTAGATCCACACTCATGCCCTGACTAATAGATTTTCATAGGCATTCCATTGGTGAGTAGTTTATAGTTTATTTAATAAATTATTTGACCAACTCACCTTTCTGTTTACTCTTAGCTCCTCCCACACCTGTGGTCAGGTACAGTGAGGTGGACATTCACTTACCCGTGCTCAGATTGCACAGAGCCACCAGTACACTGGACCCCATATGGTGAGATATTGTTTTATTTTTAATAACAATCACAATGTTTGTGTCAAATTTAAAATGATTGGTGTGGTTACATGTTTAAATATTGTAATGTTTTGCATTTTGGTACAACCACAGCCCACTGGGGGGTCCACCGCCCCCTGGACTAGACTATTAAGCGTAAGGTGAAAGATGAGTGTATTTGGCTTTTTGCTTAATTATTCCTTTGAAGAAATATGAGTTGTGTCTGTCTGTGGGTCTGCAGTGTGTATCAGGTGATTGTGTTACCTGTGGAGGGCGTGTTGGTGTTTGACTGCGACTCGTCTCTCGTGGCCCGGCAGAGCTGCAGTGGTGAATACATGGCGGCTGAGATGGAGCTGAGGGGTCTGGGGACGGACGTGAACTTCACTTTAGGAGACCGCCAGCTTTACGGAGAACTCTACAACGCTCCACTGGAGACGGGGAGAGATTATTACGTCATACTGCGCACAGTCTGCCAGTGGAGGCAGGTGAGATTTACGTTAAGGACCAAAGAATATCTGTAAATGATTTTTAACGTTTATAAAACAGTGCATTTTTTCTATGTAAGTGGACAAAACAAGCTTCATCAGAATGTGTTTATTACCTTCAGTAATTCACTAACATTATTTTGAACGTACAACCAGAACATGAAGATCATGTGATTCCCACAGAATGAACACAGTTTCCAATTTTTATCATCGACATCCAGTGAGAGCAACAGTGTCTGCATGTTTCAATAAGTGTTTATATCAAATATATCAAATATATAATCAAATAGTGTACTTATCATGTGTGTCATATATACAATGAATTAGCATATATGTGTATATATATATATATATATTTACATACATATATATATATATATATATATATATATATATATACACTATATGGAAAAAAGTATTGGGTCTTTTGTAAAGAAAAGTAGGGGTCCAAGAACTGAGCCCTGAGGGACACCACATGTAACAGGAGAGGTGGAGGACTTGGGTGCACTAATATGTAGTTGGTCCCCCTTCTGGGAAGCTTTCTACAAGATTTTGGAGAGGTTCTTCCCCAAACTGTTCCCAAACCTTTGGTGCTGAATTGTGGTGAAATCCACTGCTAACAAAGATACGCCCCTTCTAAACCTCACCCCCAGAGTTCTTTAGTCTGTCTTATTATAAAGTCAGAGTACAATTAATAGCACAAAGAAAAATCAGCTACCTAGAGAAATGCTATTGTTAGACAAACAGAGCTGTTTTCTATTGTAAGAGGTCTTATGTTACTATTAAATGTGTTATGTATGTTTATTTTCACTGCGTACAATGTGTTCTCCATGTGACTCGCGTCTTAATGGCCATGTTTAGTGGGTCTGTTTGATTAGAGGAATCTCCAAAGGCTGAACAGTGGTCCCCAGGACAGGAACTGAACACCTCTGATTTAGCATGATAAACACTAGTACTAATTTATTGTTATAAGGTAATTAAAATAATGAAATACAATGGAGAATGAATAAACATTATTTACAGCCAGTGGCCTCACCTGTGCAATTCTTGGGTTGTTTTTCTGAAATTTGCCATATTATTGTTTTCATTCTTCTTTTACAGGTGGCTTTTATTTTGACAGTGAATTTATTTGCGAACATAAAAATGTGTTTCCCCCCTTCAAACTTTTCAGGCTAGAAAGCAGTCCTGCGTTATCTGGGCCAAAGCTAAAGGTCAGGGAAAGTCAAAACATAATAGTTGAAAATAAATAACTATTAAAAATGAAATAATATATATGTAAATAAATGTATAAATAAATAATAAAAATAAGTCTGAGAGTGCTGTGTTGTTTTAATATATATTTATCCTTTTTCAGATGTTTTTATTCTTTAAGTTATATGTGCTTTTATTCTTATAGATATTTAAATATATATTTATTTTTACCCTCTTTCTGTAGGAACGTCATACGGCACCACAGTGTCTGCTCTGCTGACCTTTGGCACCATCGGGGCTCTGGGCGTGATGGGCACTATGGGCTACTGCTGCAGCTGGTCAGCATCTGCGATTACAGTTATATTCAATTTTATCAGATTAATCTTCACATATTTATTATCAACGGCCTATGATCTCTTAATAAATTAACCTGTTTTTGTTTCTCTGTGTCTGTGCTGCAGGTTCTGGAAGGTAGCCAGGCCTTGACGGAGTATAGAAGTAGTTTATAATTGTTGGCTTGTAACAAAATAAACAGATTTGTTAAAAAAAAGTCTTGTCTTTTCTTTTTGATTTTTTTAATAAAGCTTAATATCAGTTAATATCAAAACTTACCTTACCATGGTGGATGTTTAGATAGGCATTCTACTCTATTTCTATGGTTCTATAAAGGGCCAAAATCAAATTTACCTCACTAGATAAAAGAGTAGCATATGGTATGTAAATGTTGCTGGAATTTCAAAACATACAGTTCACACTCCAGTCGATAAAACGGTCCATATACAGAAACTAAGCAGCAAACATGGCCTGTTTTGAATTCGTTGTTTTTGTGATGTCATACATCCCCTATTCAGCTGTACTACAGTAGTTTAGCCCCGCCCCATTCACGCTGAAGTCATAAGGAATGTTTCAGCACATACTGTATTTTGAATGAAGCGCAATACAGGACAGCCAATCAGAACAGAGCTTATCTACATATATCAGGTTTAAAGGATTTGGAACAAAAAGAGCCTGTTTAGTTCTAAGGGACAAAGAGAGGTTAGAAAATAGCCATAGAAATTAATTATGACAATGTTTGAGACGGAAACCTGCACAAATGTTGTAAGTGGATCTCAGAGGAAACATAAAATACTATAAAAGTGTAGGATACAGGCCCTTTAATACAGGTTCAACACTAGCCTGTGAATTCAACACAGGTAGAAAATACTTGATTAATAAAGGATTATTTTTGAAAGATTTGTACTTTACTGAAGTATTGTTGAAACTGGAAACTTAAACTTTTACCAAATTACCATACTTTTAATTTTTATGGTATTTTTTATTTTATTTACTTCTATATACTCTATAGAAGTTTAAATGCTTTACTATTTTCACAATATTTTTGCCCTATAGAATTAAACTTTGATTAACGTGAATTATTCAACAAATTAATATAAATTAAACTATCCTTAAAATGTTAAATCAATAATTAAAATTATTAAAAACGTTTAAACGCCAGGACACGAGCAGCCAATAGCAGCGCAGCAGCGCGGAGGACGATTTTAAATGGAAGGCGGCGATGAAGGCGGGAACCGAGGAGGCGCGAAAGGATGAGGAATTCAAAAGTGAAGCAAGTCAATTATGGCTAAAAATGTTGTTTTATGTTAGAAATTAGATGTTTATATCGGTTATTTATGGTTCATGTAGCGACTGTATCTGACTGCCGTCACATAATGTTGATCTAATTCAGTTTAACCCGACTTAGCTGTAGTTATGTTAGTTAGTAAGACGGTTAGCTGGTTGAGCTAATGGCCCGTTTGCAGGGCGGTTAGCAGCGCTGCTAGCAGCGCTGCTAACTCTGCCTTCGCTCCCTGAGTGGATTCTTTATGATAGATTACAGATTTTATCTGTTAGTGTAGCAGTGAAACATTTCAGCGGTTTAGTAAGTATTTTCATGCTTCACTCGAGCTAAAATACAGATATATTGCTGTGTTATGTGTTATGAAAACAGCCACTCAAAACCTGGAGTGTAAATTCGCATCAGGGACTCCATTTCAGAGAAAACAGTGAAATATTATCAATACAGTTTGAGAACTGTAAGGTTTGTATGCCAAGAAATCTGTTTTCTTTTAGCAGTAATATCAACAAAGGCTTCATATAAAGGTTATATGAATATTTTTAGCTAGCTAATAACATTAGCTAGCTAAAAACTCAGTCTCAGCCTCAAAGTGGCTCCTTATTTTCTATAAAAAGTGGTGAAATTATGCCTTCTACTCTCAAACAGTGCACTAAATGTAAAATAGGGAGTCGTGCAGCCTGTGGTTGAATATAAACTAGATCTATAATCTGCTGTTTGGTTGGAGAAGCTGTACATTCTTGACTTGCATAGTGCAGGACAAAGATGTAAGGAGCCGTTTGAGACTCAACCAGAGTCATTTGGTGTATTCAGCTAAATTAGCTTGATTATTTTAAGGTTTTGCCGTCATGTCTGATTATTTTTGTCTCTTCTGTCTTGCCCCAGCTCGGCTGTTTTTAATTCTGTGTGCTGTCTGGAGATGAGCAGTAACACTGACTGCATATTACAGTGTGGTCAGATGGCAGTGATGTTCTCAAATGTCAAATACAGAGCCATTGACTACAGCTGTGAGGTAAAATTACTGGGGTTTTACATTTTAGGGTAGGTTTTATAACTGATTGAATCAAGCTAGGCATTTGGCTAGTTTAAATCCAGTCCCGATCAATGTAGTTCAAATCATCGTGCCATGGTGCGACATGGTGATTCAGACAGGCTTTGGTCTGAATTTCTTTCACCAGGCGTCAGCCAGAGACAGGCTCATGAAGAACCAGCTGATGCTACCAGTTCCCATCCAGCTGGACAGACACATCTACCCCCACACAGGGCATGTTCAGAAGACGTACAGAACTCCATGGACGCATGGTCAGAAGAACACTGTCTCTGTTTGACTGGTTCATGCTTTTTTGTCAGCTCATATGAAGTCACTATTTCATATGAAGGAAATGGTGTGTTTCTACAGGAACCCCGAGGTCCATGTGTCAAATTGAAATGGAATTGACTGGGTCGGTTCTAGACTGTTTGAAGACCAAACTCTGTTCACTTGACTCTTTAGAAAGGTAAACAGCATTATTGTCACTCATTTCTAAATGCAGCATCTCAGTGACTGAAGCAGTAATCTTTCCTTGGACAGGTTATGTTGTTCTGGGAACATGTAGTTCTAACTTAGCAGTGCCCCACATGAAGGAAGGTGTTAAAGGACTGAAAAATCTGAATGATATGTGTTCCCCTTATCGCAAATGCAGCTGAACAGCCCAGCACATTTTGGTGTCTGAAGTTGGCTTCTGCAGTTTTACGTTGGAACCACTGATGTAGTTCCAAGTTCTTCAAGTCTGTAACACTTAAAATCATTTTGGTGATATAGACTTCTGTTATGTTGGCCTTATATCTCTAGAAGGTAACTACAAAAGCAAGTTTCCTTCAGGCACTAAGCATGTCTTGGCTGTTTGACTACATTTGGGATAAGGGGAACATTGTGATAGCCATTTCTTAAAACTACTGCACATTAAAGATAAGATAAGATAATCCTTTCTTATTCTCACAAAGGGGAAATTCCCAGTGTTACTGCAGCAAAGGGAGAGCAGTGCACTCAAGAACAGGAAAGAGGAGAATTAACAAGCAAGTAATTAACCTTGTTAATTACTTAACAAGGTTTTTACAGTTTGTTACTTGTTACTTTATAGACAAAATATATAATACTAAAAGTAAAAAAACAAGATAAAAAAAATATAAACTCTATCCTTCACAAAAATTAACAATATAAAGGATTATAAATAAATAAAAACAATGATATTTACACCGTAAGGATATTTTACCTGAAGTTCACAGAGTATTGCACAAATACTACTAACAAACACAAAAAAACATAAACAGATATAACAAATATAAATAAATTGCGAATACTTATATGCTATAAATGGTTATAATTACACAGCTACATAGTGAATTACCTTTACATTTGATTTTACACTTTCTGGAAAACATATAACATGGTTTTTCTTTCTCGAAGAAGACTGTAGACACAACTAAAACGTTTTTGAATTCAGATCCTACTTACAAGCACAAATGTGGCAAGGATTGAAAGTTTACAATCTGCATGTTCCACACATTTGTTCCACATGTTTAAAGTGAGAAATAGTTTATCTAAAATTACAGCAGGTTGTCGCCTGTGATCACTGTGAGTTCTAAAGGTCTAAACCTGCTGAAGTGTGTATAATGAGTCTCTGTGTGTTGATGTACGTAGGTTTGGTGTCTCTTTGGCTGAACTGGGTGAAGTGGTGCCCAGCTCTAATCCTGCGTCTCAGGACTCCGTGAGGTCAGATGAGGCTCTCTGGCTACAAAGAGGAGAGAGAGAAGCTGAACATCCTGAATGGAGAGAGAGCTTCAGTCCGGCTGATATAAACTCAGCCTGTTTTAGTTACCAAGGTCAGGCCCGGCAAAGCTAGCAGGGTGTAAATCTCTGACCTCACAGTTTAATTATGTTATTAGTCTTTAGGAAACAGTTTAGCGCGTCAGGAAAACCCAAATTTCACTACATTTTGATTTGATTTGATTATCTTGGTCTGATTCAGAAATATTTTTAAAAATGCACTGGAGAAACTGTTTACAGAGTGAGTATAGACGAAAAACAACACACAAAGGTATTTTGGGTACTTTCTATGGCTCTTTTGTATCATAAAGATAAACAGTTTGGTGTGTTTTTATGGTCTGTATTTTGCAGCTGGATAAATCAGTGATCCAGTCACATTTGTTCTCATATCTATTTTCAAAAATAATCCCAAAATGAATTGTGGTGAACTTTGAGATTTCATGATGCATTGCATAAATTCCTAAGGAATCGATTACACTTTTATGAGATTTACGTCTTTACTGTGCTGTGCACGCTTATAGAATGTAGTATTTAAATCAGTCAAAAATGAATTCAGTCAGTCTTTATCTTGATTTGACTCGAGACAAAGATTGCAGGATCTGTACTGTTGTACTGTAGCTGATGATTATCACTGTTTACTGTTTATATGTGGTGGTGTTGTGTTCGCTTCTCTGTCTCAGATCTCTTCCTCCCAGAGGAAATGATAGCGAGCGATCATCTGAAGCAGTTTCGGAGTCGACTGCCTCCGTTACTGAAGTTAGTGCAGAGGTTAAAAACTCTGACTGTACCAGATCCTCTGCTTCAGCACTCTGGAGTCTTTTTCTCTGGCAGGTACACTGGGCTGCTATTCACCTGCCCCTTGAATTCACCCAGAATACAGCAGAATTTTTTTAATGTATGTATATAACAAGGTAAAAATTTCAGTATAGATTTGATTTAACGCTATAGAAGATGTATTAAAGTATACTTAAGGGATTTAGGAAATTTTAACTGTTAACATACTTGTCATTTGCCCTATAGGTGCCACTTCAGTATAATCTGTAAGCATAAGCAGTTTAACAGTCCATATTTTTCTTATTATTGTAGTGTCCTTTTTGATTGAATGTATTTTATGTTAGTCAGCTTCATGTTGAAGACTCTTCACAATTTCATCATACTATGTCTTCTTTTCAGTGATGGCTTGCGTGTTTGTAATTCCCAGGCAGTATGAGCCTTATGAAATGTCCTCTGATGAACCTTCCAGCATTTTAGCAGCTCAGTCAGTTGAGGAATTCAGAAAAGAATCCATTTTGACTGCAGAGGTGGGACCTGGATACCTTATTCATCTATACCTAAGCTTTGTAGTTTTATTT